TATATATATATATTATATGCAGTATACACAGTAAACTCATCCAACGATGCGGTATGATTTTGGCGGGATCCTTGTTTTCAATTGGTGACTTAAATGGCAATCCTGGGTTTCTCGGACGCAGGATGCAGTGTGGCTTTCAGAGCGCCGCGACCCTGCACTCCTCCATTGCGTCAGCTTCCTGCCGGCTGAGTGCCTGGGACCGTGGCCAGGTTGAAGGTTGCGAAGCACAGATGTAAACACAATATTGCACTATGTTTCACTTCTTGATTGTAGTTCACTTTCCAAATCGAGGCTTGCATATAGTGTAAGAATCGTGAGTTCTAGCGACAACACAAAATTGATCAAGAAAAGAGAACTTCGTTTTGAGTTTGATGCAAGATGATGCAAGCTAGCATCCGAAACCGAAGCCTTACGAGGCTGAGTGGACCAGCCAAGGCAAGAATCGGGAGGGCAAGGTCGCGGTGAGGTGCCAGTGCAAGTTCTCGGAGCTTGCAGCCCTAGTTCTTAGTGTTTTTATGTTTTCAGCTATTTGCAGATGGTTTGACAAATTTTTGTCACTGCACTTGTTATATAGTTATATAATTGGTTACCGATGGTGGCACCGCCATGCACCAATCCTTGAAAAACGTTTTATGTGCATCTCTGCCCGCAGCACCTATAGCTTAGCTACGAAGGGCGTTTCGCTCACCTCCAAATGGAGGAGAGTGGACCGACCGAGCCCAAGGAGCCGAAGGCGAAGCTTAAGGCCAGTAAGGCATCCAAAAAATCGAAGAAAGGGAAGGAGGAGAAGGAGAAGTGATGAGAAGTGTGTCACAAGATGTCACAAGCCATGGGGAAGCGAACAAGACATGTCAAACGGTGTGACAGGATGAAATTACAATGATACAATGATCATTGCCTTTTCCCGAACGTTGGTTTCATTCGCATGCAAAGACCGTCAGGGATCTTCTGAAGATCCTGTAGTAGGGCCTGAATGCCTGCAGCTGTTTGTCCATCTTGGGGGTCCCTGAGGACTTTGGCTTGACCTCGGTCATTGGGAATGGCCAGCAGCCCGACGAAGCCGAGGGAAACGAGGAGATCTTCACCGAGACTGAGACCTCGCCAAGCCCTTTGCACATGAGCCCAGGCACCAGGCCTTCGGATCTCAAGGAGCTGTTGGGTGGTCTGTTTGGAAGTTGAATGCTGATAAGTCTCACTCAACCAACAACAGATGTGGGACATTGTTCTTAATCCATCGTTTGCTGAAGTGTTTCTATACTTGTGATTCTGTGTCAAGTTGTGAGCGCCATACCTTTGTTGAAACTACACTGATCCCGAGATGTCCTGACCAGGATGGTCAGCTTTTGGCTGATTTGGAGAGTTCCGAGATGGAGACCGAAGAGCCAAACCCGCCGATGGAGCCCGCGGCCAGTGCTGCGGCCATCGCAGGTGGAGCGTCAAAGGAAGAGGATCTCGATGAGTTGCGGAAGTTGTTCAAAGACGTGGAGAAGGGTCGCGTTTGGGACGATGAAGACCATGGAGGCACCATTCTACTGAATTTTCTTGTATTTTCTTGTGCCGATCACGGAAACCAGAAATTTTGAGCGTTGATGTGGGAAACCTGGATCGAGGGAAGGGCCTTTACCATAGGCTAGACTCCTAGACACAGGTATTGTAGAGATATGCGGGCACAAAAGTAGGCGGAGCTATACAAGGGATCCAGAATGAAACGAGAATGAGCTGAGCAATGGGATGTTTGACACGAGGAGGTATTTTAGTTTGGTGCGAACAAGGACGAGATATCCAGGAGTGCCAGATGGATAACCAACATAGAACGACTTGATGTGACCAGTGACCACCTTGCGCAACGTATCCACCACAGGTGAGACGGCTGGAGAGCTCTTCATCAAGGGGGGGGGCAGACATGTTCAGAAGTTTGTCCCGCCGGGACGAGAAGGATGTGCGGAAGGCACTTTGCTGCATGTTCTACTTAAGGGTGGAGCTCACCCTGAGGAGAACGTCAGAGTTCTTGATTTTCTTACTAGGCGAGGCTCGAGTTCGCTTGGAGGAAGACCTCGAGGAAGGAGAGCGTTTGGCCCGAATGCACGGTGAAGTGCAACAAACAGCCATCGTGCTTGTAGAGAAGCTCCGGGCGAATGACCAGGAGATGCTTTGGAGCACACAAGCTGGTCTCGTCATCTTGATGCAGTTCCAACTTGGCGATGCACGACTCTTCTTTGCCCGCCCTTCATTGCAACAGATCATGCTCGATGTTTGGCAAGGTGTCCGTCCAGACTACTTTCAACGAAGCTGGTGCAAGCAGTTGCAGGTCTGGATGTGGTTGCTGCTGTATGGCTTGCCCAACTTGTTGATGGTCTTCCTTTGGGCAGTGGCACCTGGCCTCGAAGAGCACATTCAAGAGGGAGTGATCTCCGGTGCTCAAAAAGCCCGAGAAGACGAGACATCAACATGGAACAACATCTTGAAGAATCTTGGGGAGAAAGACTGGCCGTACAGGTTGGGAAAGAAGCTATGTTGGGATCCTGAAGACTTTGAGAATGCAGTGCGAGAGAAATGCCGTGAGCGCGTCTTCTTCGTCCAATGCCGTGTGCCGCTGCTCATTTCACGCTTCAGGAAATGTTTGGCCATCTTCACCAACCTTGCATTCGCTGCTTATTTGATCGGAGAGGAGCCACGCCAGGCCAATGTGCCGTTGGTGTTGATCCTAAGTGCTGGTGCCTGGCTGGGTGAGGTGTCTCAGCTATTGAGCTTTGCGAATTCTGATGCTGGGGCACAGAATTCTTTTGCCTTTTGGTTTATGGATCGAGTGAACGTGATGGAGTTGGTCGCCTTCACCTGTATTGGATGGACTTGCGTGCTAGTTTTGATTCAGGAGGATTGGACTGAGTTCGCACAGCAGTTCAAAGCCTTAGGCGTGCTCTTCCTGGGCATTTCTCAGTCCATGGCCATTTTGCGCATGAGTTCCGTCTTCGGCCCATTGGTGTCCATGACGATGAACATGATCGTAGATATGATCCAGTGGTGGATGCTGCTCATTCCCATCATCGGATGCCTTGTAGCTGCTTTGATCACCCTCTTCAAGACGCAGGACACGAACCTTGGTGCAGTCAGCGTAATACAAATTGCCTTGTCATCGGTTAAAATTGCCGTTGGACAGACAATCCTACACATCATAAGTTTAAGTAATATAGAACATTTTGTGATAGAGATGGAAGGTCCCTGCCCTGCTATAGCAGATATGTTGCACATCTTTGAGGTGCTTGCAAATCACACGGAGTTTGCCGTGCACTCATTCTAAGGAAGTGCTTGCCGTTTGAGTTTGACTACTTCGAAGGACTGGCCCGGTTCTTCAATGTCCCGATTGGTCAGCAGTTTTCCTGGAAATGTGACGTTTCCCCAGCAGAATTCACTGGGCCACTCATCATGATGCTGGGCATGTGGATGATGCTTGGGTTTTGCATTGTTCGAATGCTGTCCTGGTGGTGTATTTAATAAATTTGCAGGAATCGGAATCACCTCTTGATGCGTGCACTTTTGATCTAAACCTCCAGACCTCCTTGTTGGTCAAACAATTTTTGCACGGGCAGCTTGAACGCATAAGGATCATGATCCTCATGCTAAACATGCTTATTGCAATGATGGCCAAGACCTTTGATCGCATCTATGAGTCGGCCATGGTGGATTTTCAGTACCATTTCATTGGGAACTTGCTGCAGATGGTGGAAGAGCCAGCGGTGCCACCCATTTTGCGGATGTTGGGCGTGCCTTGGATGGTTTGCTCCACCTGCTGGCGGTGGATCTCCAGAAAGAGGAGCGAGCTTTCTGAGAACAATGGCACCGCAAGCCCGCAAGCTGTTTTGCTGCGCAACTCGAGCTTTCATGCTATGCACAAAGAGCAGCAACAAAGAGATTCAGGTTTGAGAGAAGTCATGATCAGAGTTGATACAGATGGCAAACTCACAGATCATTACCATTGTGTTGATCTTCTCTATAAGAGCGTGACATCCTTCGTTTCAGAACACGCCTCGGACACACAGGTGCAAGATGACCTCTGGCGGAAACAGATGGCACAGAAGCTTTTTCTGATGGATAAGGAACTGAGAGAGACAAAGATAGACACCATGAACAAGCTCGACAAATTGACTGAGCAAATGGACGCGTTGCTTAGAAGCACTGCGAGACAAGCTCAACCCATGACGAGCTAATTAGAGTCATAGACATCACCTTCAAACCAGATGACCCATGTACATCTCCTCTCGTGATTCGCGCGTCTTTCAAAGGGCATTCTTGTTTATATTTTGGGCTTGTCCCATTACCAGTAACAGTAACAGTAATATATCATTATCACATGTTAATTTTTAAGTCGAGTCCTTACTAACGATCATGATCCACGGTTAATTCCTGGTAAGAAGGTAGATTATTATTGCGTTTAGAGTTGCTGGCAATTTCAATTTGATCCTTGCTGCAAAGGCAAAGCCTTCAGCTGGAATTTTGCGGAACCTGCCAAGCTTTTCCCAAGGAACTTGTGCCTAGACATGTTGCAGGCTTTGCAGGTGTGAAAAACATTTGTGATGCCTGCAAGGTGTCCACACAACTCCTGAGCTCGGCCGGCTTGACCTGAAAGCGATAAAACGGATAAAGAAAGCGCAGCTGGAGAGAGGACAGACTTTCCTTTTAGCATATTTGCTATATGAGACCAGTCTAGAGGGAGGATCCTTTTGTGCCTTTGTGGCTTTTGTGGAACATTGACTCTTTTTGTGCAAAATTGTGAATGTTTTTTTTCTTGGTCCAGGGCTTGCCTTCATTGGGATGGGGTCAGGGAGTTAGGGAGAAGGTGATAATGATGGATGATGAATGAATCAATCAACGGTGATGCAAGGTGCTTGATAATCCAGCATGGCAGTGTGGACAAGACTGAGACACTCTTGCGGCTCCTTCGCATAACGCAGCCAAGCACTCAGTCCTCAGTGGATACCTGAGCTGTCGAACCCGTGTCGAAGCACCCCAGAAGTGCAGAGAGGTGCCGTTTTGTTGGGGAGGAGCCTGAGGCCAACTAGAGTGCTTCAGAAGAAGTGGGTGAAAGGGCGAGCCGCTCGGCCAAGCGTTGGGGTTGAGAGAACTGATGTTTCGCTTCTTGGGAGTTTTCCAGATCTGTTCGGGCGAAGGTTCCTGTGTTCAGACACGTGCGCAGACTGTTTGGGGCCCATCTGCGGTGTTTGTGAGGTGTTCGTCCAACAGGCTCTCCAAACATTGTAACATGGGGTGAGAAGTTGTAAGCTCAGCCCCTGTCGAAGACTCTGAACAAGTCTGGAAACAATCGGTAGCGATACGTGCCATGGTTTTGTTGCCATGGGTCAACACAATGACAATACTGACACTGGAAGAGGCAGCCTGAAGTCCTGGAGTAGGTTTTCATCAGGTAAACCTGATAAAGGACAACTCAATTTCACATCATCAACCTATATGGAATAGTTATACATATCTTGACCATACATTTGACCCCGATCCAAATGACCCATCCGTGTGATGAGAAGTGTATCTTCCAGTCCGATATCGGATTGGCAAGCTAGCGTCCGAAACCGAAGCCTTACGAGGCTGAGTTGACCAGCCAAGGCAAGAATCGGGAGGGCAAGGTCGCGGTGAGGTGCAAGTTCTCGGAGCTTGCAGCTCTAGTTCCTAGTTTTTTGATGTTTTCATCTACTTGCAGCTAGTTTCGTGCAAGTTGCTGTTGACCTTTGACAAAATGTTGCCACTTCACTTGTTGATTAATTGGTTAACAGTTAACGATGGTGGCATCGCCATGCACCTAAGTTGACAAACGTTTTGTTCATCTCCTGCATCCCTGCCCGCAGCACTACCGATACAAACGGCCAAGCTCACCTCCAAATGGAGGAGAGTGGGCCGATGGAGCCCAACGAACCGAAGGCGAAGCCTAAGGCCAGAAAGGCATCCAAAAAA